TATTTAAACCATTGACTTAATTTTTATGTTCATCGACTTGACATTATATATGACAAAATTTTTATTAGATTATTAGATAGATGATATATTAGTTTTACATATTATAAATCAATTTTAAATAAAAATTAAGAAAATCAAATCATTTTTTTTTCTATCTTAATCTTGTTAAGTAAGGATAGAACCGTCATTTCAACTCTTAAAATAGAGTACTTTTCAAAGTGTAACAAATTTGGTATAGATTTCAAATTTTCAATAAGATTTAGGGTATACAAACCAATTTATCAGTTATAATTTTTTATTTATTTATCAAGATCGAGGGTTCCGGCAAAATTAAGTGTTCAATACGTTGTATATCACAAATCCCATCATGAAGGAAGTATTGGGCTTGACTATATAGTAACATGTAGTAACCATATTCACATCCTGCAAAAGGGTAAATCCAGAGATTCCCGAATTTACACCAAAACAAAAAAAAAATCATCAAATAAAAGATCCTTGTTGGTTATTGTTCGAGTAAGCTTTTGCGAGACGACACAAGGAATGATACGAACCACAACGAGGACATTAAAAACATCATTCTGATTTGTAATTATTACAAAGCAAACAATATTTAGAAAAACATCTGTATTTTGTCCGTAGATATTGCAATAAAAAATAATAATGTTAGAGCAAACAGATATGCCAAATCACTTGCCCATGAGTGAGTGCTTCTATATTCACTACCTCGCTAGTAATTTTAAATTTGGTTTGAGAACTAACTGCTTCTAACAACTCATTCGAATTAAAAATAGAAGAATTAATTAATAGTGTTCGACCTATTTCTTGTTATCAAAGAAGGACCTACCAATAGTTAGATTATTCCGTTGAGTTAACCAACATGTTGATTTATAAAGTTTCAAAAAAAAAACATGTTGATTTATTCCAAACATCAAATTACCTACCAAGAATTCCATTTTCATATATATACTATCGTTGTTTTCTTTCTGTTTGTCCGTTATATACATTTTTTTTTGAACAATGTCTGGTTTTTTTTATATATATATACTTTTTTTGAAAACTTGTCTGTTATATATTTGAAACATGAATACATATATACCCGTCGCCAAAAAAAAAGAAAAAAGAACACATATATACCTTTTTGGGGGGTAAAATAACTGGTATAGAATTCCTTTTTGATACTATATTGTTAATGATCACAATTTCATGATTTAATGATTTTTAAAAATAAACTAAAAGTTTTGAAGTGGAAAGATAAACAATATCACCAGTGAAAGTATTATGGCTGGTTTTATTGAATGTATTTTTGTTATTCATTTTTATGTTGTATAATGATTACAATTTTGTTAATGGCTGGTGTATGACACATTAGCTAACACATGATATTTGGTTTCGTCATGGTAGATGAGAAAAGTATGTACGACAAAGTCAAACAAATACATAAAATCTTATAATCTATCATTTAATTCCTTAGATATCAGCTTTTGTCTCCCTATAAAGTTGAATAAATTAAAAATCAGGTATATAAGACAATGATTCTGTGCAGTGCTAGACATACGACTTAACGAGTGACTGTCATTAGGTATAAAAATAATTAACCCACCCAACCCAATTAGTGTGTTAGTTATAAATACAAAAAGATGGAGAATGTTAAAGACATGAATATCCTCAGTTTCATGTGTCGAGAATTCCAAGGGCGAGGTCCATGTTTGTCATTTATGTTCAAGTTTATAG